ATAGTTCCAATGCCTGCGATTCTACAGGAGTCACTACTCACACTTCCTTCTGGTACCAGCTCCCTGAAGCAGGAAGAGGCGAGGCATTTGGACAACACATGTCTGGCATCCCTTTCCGAGTATCTCAGTTAGGGCAGCACCAGCCTTTTTAGAAAGGCCTCGTGTCCCCACCATGGCTGCACGGCCCCAGCAAAACTGCCCATAAGCCTGTAGCTTTGGTTTCTTCTCTGGACTTGGTAAGCCATTCTCTCCATGCTGTGACTCAATGGCATTTCCTGTTTCCACTTTCATTTTCAGAGAAAACACATGCTAACCTTGTCAGGTTCCAAGGACTGCATCTCCCCTCCTTCTGTGAAGGTCTTGCCTTGTCTGTGGGCTCTCTGGATGCCATCCTTATGTCTGTCGTGAAGCTATTAAGCCTCATGGCAAAGACTTGAATTGGACATAAGGGAGACAGGTGCTGTGTAAGCTTCCCCCTCAGGCAGCTTGTGCAGGATGCTTCCCTCCTGATCTCAAACACCCACCCACTGTTATTCCCATTTTAGACCTCTCTGGAGCAGAGAGCAGTGTACCCTGCCGATGTAACTAGTACTTACTGAAACAAATAAAACAGACAAGATCACTCTGAATGCCAAAGATATACTAATCTGTTTACACCACCCACTTCTAACCATTCTCTAAAGTGCTGTAAATATTGGGTTTTCTGTTTGGGGGGGGATTGTTAGACTAATCTAATGAGAGAAAAACCAAAGCAAGATTCCAAGCCTGTCATAGCTGGCTTGGCAGTCCCAGGCCTGCTTGGCTCTGCACACTCCCAGTGTAGATCGCCCTCTACATCCTGGTTCCTCTCCAGCCTAACAGCCATTTCCTCCAATAACTTCTGTATCAATAAATATATTTAGCCACCTGAGGTATTCACGCCAGATGCTACTGCATTTGATCTTCAAATATGAGGTTATTTTAGGCCTCATGTCTGCCTTCTGAAGTGAGAGCAGGAAGGGTGGGGTGTTTTGCGACAATTACCTGGTGTTTCTAGATCAGGTTGCTTTTCCTAAGACTTCTATTTAGGAAACCAAGTAAAATTAAATAATAAAAGGAAAAGTTGGTGGCTGAAACGGAAGGTATTAAAGTTATCTCGGATTAAATAGAAGACTTATTTCATAGTAATACTGCATTTTGATAATGCATTTACTCCTTTTTGGCTGCCCCATATTTTATACATTTTTCTCTTCTTAATATCATAGCAATGGGCTCCCAACCTTTTCAAATAGGGAAATCCCTTTTCACACAAAAATGCTTATTAAACCTTCACTCGAATCAATGATAATAATTGTACATTTTTTTTAGTAGCCACTTGAACATAAAACACATAAAAGCTTCTCGAATTTAGCTACACTTGTATTTAGCAGCACATTTTATCATGATAGTACTTACATGCATTTGAAAATAGCAGTGTACAATCTATCAAGACATAATATTGATCCAGTCTAAAAACAAAGCTTATCACATGTGTAGATTCATGGACCATTCAAGCTGTATACGGACAACATGTCAGAAACACCTAATTCAGAAGGACTGAAGTTTATACACTGTCCTGAAGTTTCTATGAGATGACACATTTCCTTCACTATCTCTGGTTTTTAGGAAGCAATTTATTTTGTCCTTGGAAAAAAAGGTTAATCTAATTTTCTTAATCTGATAAGTGTCCTGGGACATTCAGAACTGTTTCCTAATTAAACAGTTCTTTACAGCAAATCTAGAGCAAGACTCTGAGGGGAAGGGCTGCTAATTTTGACAGCCAGGGTGAAAATCTCCCATTACGAGAATAAGAATGGTATTGGATTAAAACAGAACTAAGATGTGATTTTATCTATATGCAAGATGATTAATAATACCATTAAAATAGGGAAGCGCATGATTTAAATAGAGGCCCATGCAGGGCCCTGGGAAGTGAGGAAAACAGCCCATGGGAGTGAGTGAGTGAAGTCCCAAGAATACAAGGATGCCTTTTTGCCAGCGTCTATGGAGACTGGAGCAATGGTTTGTTGGGGTATGTAAGCCTGGTGGTTAAGTAAGGTGTAGACTAGCTCTCAAGGGACTTGTTTCTTAAACACCCACACGTACACACACATGTGCGTGCACACACACACACACACACAGCTAAATAAAGACACAAAGCATCCTTTTAGTTAAATGATTTTTTTAAAAAAATAAGCATTGAGAGGCAGGCATTGCAAGAAAGAAAAGATGTTTCCATTGCAATTGAAAGTGATGCAAATCAGGGGCCCTGGGTGGCTCAGTCCGTTAAGGATCTGACTCTTGATTTCTGCTTAGGTCATGATCTCAGGGTCCTGGGATTGAGCCCTGCATTGGGCTCCATGCTCAGGGTGGAGTCCATGCTCAGGGAGGAGTCTGCTTGTCTCTCTCCCTCCCCCTCTGCCCCTCTCCTCACTCATTCTCTCTCTCTCTCTCTCAAATAAATAAATAAAATCTCTTTTTTAAAAAGTGGTGCAAAAAAAAAAAGTGCAAATCATTGAGGTTGGATGGTACACTAAAGCATATTTAAGAGGCAAGGCAAGAGGCAAATCCATGGTTTTATACTTTCTGAAAGAGTAGTAATGAACGTATAAAGAGAGAGACAGTCTGAGTAGAGTAAGGATTGGAGGAAATTGAGAAAGAAGGAGGTGGGAGGTGAGCTCACCTAGAGTTTCAAACTCAGAAGAGGAACTGTGGCTTATGGTCTTGGTTACTGACTGGTTGATTGTCTGTTCATGCTGGGAACACCAGCCGTCTGTTCTATAGTTGACTCAACTCAGAAGAAAAGTATTCTAACAATAGTGTGGAAGCTGAAAAGCCAGTAATTTTGCATTTACAAGTACTTCTACATTCTCAGCAAATATGTTAAGCATATATTTCAGAGAAATATTAATTTTCACATAGTATTTTGGAGATGAGATTTTTCTTAGACAATTAAAAATATAGCATAAATGGGGTGCCTGGGTGGCTCAGTTGGTTGAGCATCCAAGTCTTGGTTTCCACTCAGGTGGTGATCTCAGGGTTGTGAGATCAAGCCCCACCAACTCCATTGTTGGGCTCCATGCTCAGCAGGGAGTCTGCTCAAGATTGTCTCTCCCTCTCCTTCTGCCCCTCCCCCTGCCTGTAGCTCTCTCTCTCAAATAAATATCCATATAACATATAAATTATAAGATAGAGGAACTACCTTTTCCCAAATAATGAGTTCAAAATTTTAACTATTATATCTATTTTAGGACTTTTATATCCAGAATTTTCTATAATAGGTATCAGAATTTATGCAAAACTCTGTATTTATTTGGCTCACTTCATTTTTCAAGATTATAATATGTAAAATGTCAAAATATTATCGTCATCATAAATGCAACACACATGATTTTTGAAGTATTCATTCTTGCATTTTCAAAATGATTAAATAAACCATTATATTAACTATTGATCACTTCCTACATTTTTCAAAACCAAAGACCATGATACAGAATAGTCTATTACACATATCCACCTAAGAAAAAAATGTTCCTTATCCCTATCCCTTTTACTGTCAAAAATGTGTTAACATTGTGCTACCTTCTCTGTTGTTTTCATGGATACAGTGAAAAAGCAAACTCAAAAAAACAACAAAAAAGAACAACACACACACACAAGAAAAAATATTTCCTGATATAAGTATTAACACTGCTGTTATTAATAGTGTGCTATGGTAAGTTACCAACATCTGCTAAAAGTTATACAGAAAAAAAAGCTAAAAGTCCCAAAGTAAGACCAGAGTTATTACAACACGCAGAATAGAATTTGAATGATATACACAATACCTCTCTTTTCTTCCTCCTTCTCCTCCTCCACCTTCTCCCATTTCTCCTCCTTCTTCTATTTGATTGGTTTTTTGATGGTCCCATAAAAATGAAAGTTGATAAAGCAGGAGGGCTGCTGGTACCCTAACATTTTTCTTCTCCGAAGCTCAATGAGGAAAAGGCCAGGAAGGGACCTTTGTCTCCATAATGTCTGCTTTTTCTGAATATTAATTTTGTCTCATTTTCATCACAAACTATGTTGAAGGACTAAACCAGGGTCTGAGCATCTGTATTTTGCTGGGCTTCCTGGTTCTATCTCTTTTCAAACACACCTAGTTAAAAGTCCCCAGCCGGGAAATCCCAAACTAGCTGCTATGAATCAGGGCCTTTATGTGAATTGTGATTCATTGTATGTGTCAGGAATAATGCACTGGAATAAAAAGAAAAGCCAAAGTTATGACACACATAAGTGGAACATGGGTCTGGGTTTTCTGTCACCCACTTTTTTCTCTTCTGGACAGGTGCCATGTGTCTGACCTTGCTGCTCTGGTACCTATCAGAAAGGGAGACTGAGGGGATATATTTTATAACCTCACAGGACAATGAGAGTTTGAGAGCTTAATATGACATTGAGGGACATTGAGAGCTTAATATGTGGGTTTTAATTTGTTCCAGGGACTTAAGAAGAAAGGGAGGCAAGAGCTCTGGGCATTACGTTCTGTTGTCCATGTGTAACTACAGTGTTATTTCTTGTTTCCTCTATCAATTGTGGAATCTTTCAAAGTCTTGCATTGAGTGGCAATGTCGTGGTTACCGTAAGGGTATGTGTTTGTACGTGAGTGTGTAATAACTTTGTGAAATCTCAGACCGAAATGAAAATAGCTGCTTCTGCAGCAGCCTGGAGTTTCTCCCCCTGGGCCTTTCTCCGGGTCTATGTGTTCTGCCTTGTCTTGGGGTTGATGGAATCACTGACCAGCTACAGAGGCAAGCTGTGGTCACTGCAGCTTTTGGCTTTTGACCTGTGATAAGGGGAGGTTAAGAGTATGGAGGCCGGGCATCCGGGGGGGGGGGCGGGGAATCAAATTGCATTGAGCTGGGATTGCATATAATTTATATGTATTTTCTCCTGTGTGCACGATATATCGGCAAATAAATCCATCTCTATTTTATTCATAGTTCTAATGGCAAGTCTGTGTCATGGTCTGAACCAGGTGGAAGACAGGTGCCCAAGGGACAGCACATGTGGCACCGCCTCTCTGTGCACGTGAAGACCAATGAGACGGCCTGCAACCAAACAGCCGTCATCAAGCCCCTCACTAAAAGTTACCAGGGCTCCGGCAAGAGCCTGACCTTTTCAGATACCAGCACCAAGACCCTTTACAACGTGGAGGAGGAGGATGCCCAGCCGGTTGGCTTCAGCCCTCCCAGCAGTCCTTCTATGGTGGTGCACCGACGCGTGCCACCCGCGGTGAGCACCCCGCCTCTGCCGCCCCACTTGACCACAGAGGAGACTCCCCTCTTCCTGGCAGAACCGGCCATCCCCAAGGGCTTGCCCCTTCCCCTCCAGCAGCCACCACAGCCGCAGAAATCCCTGATGGACCAGCTACAGGGAGTGGTCAACAATTTCAGCCCCGGGATCCCAGATTTCAATGCGGTGCTCGCAGTCCCCGGGGGCCCGGGGAACGGGGTGAGCTCGCTGTACCCGCCCCCGGCGCCCCCGCAGCACCTGCAAATGCTCCCGCTGCAGCTGAGCACCTTTGGGGAGGAGCCCGCCTCCCCGCCAGCAGAAGACGAGGACGAGGACGACAGCGAGAGGTTCAAGCTCCTCCAAGAGTACTTGTATGAGCGGGAAGGGAACACGGAGGAAGATGAACTGGAAGAGGAAGACGAGAGCCTGCAGGCAGCCAGCAAACCGGCCCCCGAGGATTCACCCGCTCTGACGCCTCCGTCGCCTTTCCGCGACTCAGTGGCCTCGGGCAGCTCGGTGCCCAGCTCCCCCGTGTCCGAGTCGGTGCTCTGCACCCCTCCCAACGTGACCTACGCCTCGGTCATCCTGAGGGACTATAAGCAAAGCTCTTCCACCCTGTAGGAAGGAGGTGTCCACGTGGAAAAGCAAGAGAAACCAGAGAGCACCAGCACCTCCGGAGATGTGCGGACAGCTGGGAGGCGGAGATTCGGAAGAAGAGGGTGAAGTCAGAGGGAAAGGGAGCCGATGCTGCTGCCTTAGCGAAGGCCAGAGGGAACTGTGCTCTGCAGTCAAAAAAGGAGCCCGGCGAGGATCCCGATTCTTGAATTATTCAAAAGCCTTTTCTGGGAAGAAAGGCAATTCTGACAAAGCACAATCCCATATAGTGTACAACGTTCACCGCATACATAAATAAATACATACATACGTACATAAATAAATAAATCAACAGAAATAATCTCCTCTTCTGGACAATTGTGCATAGATATACATGCCCACACACACTTGGCCAGTTTGAAAAGAGACAACACATGTGGACCGGCCAGGTGGATCATTAGTTGACATCATGGATTTCATGGTAGTCATAGTGAGTGTGGTGGAGCCAGACGGATTGGGTGGGTGAAGGAGGGGCAGGCATGCAATCACCCATGGCATGGCAGCTCATTTTTCTCTACCCCGTCTCCTTACTGGTGTTCAGGAGCCTTGGGAATTGGCCCAGACAGGGGCCTCTCTTCACCCATTGCACCTGATGCAGAGCCAGCCTTGTTGTCACATTTGGAAAAAAGTGTATGGACACCCTGCTGCTCTGTGATTTCTCTCTACTTAGGAAAACAGGAATCAGAGCAAAAGCATCACCAAAAAGTGCTTCATCAGGAGTGCTAAGGGAGGATGGAATGAGAGGCAAGACAGTACACAAGCATGAGGTGGTGAACACAATCAGCACAGACAACGTCCCATAGTTGATACTCACTCACTGGTGATTTTGGAAAAAATGCTGGGACAAGAGATTGTTTTGAGAGTGGCAGAAGGTGTTTTGTGGATTATCTTGTGTTTGTGCCAACAGGGGCTCTTCTCTGCCCTTCAATTAAAGAGAACAAACCATGTGGCAAAATTGTTACCTTACATTTACTGTAGCAAATATTATTACCAGTTGAACTCCTAAGATGCAGTATGTATATTTGGTGCCATTGTTTCTCCTATGTACTACAGAAACAAATCCATCCTCGAACTTAATGGTGTACTCATAGCAACTATTACTGGTTCAGTGACAAATAATTCTTTCCTTCTGTCATCCAAGTCCCTGTAACTAGTACGTAAATGTGTTCCTGTGTCCTTGTATACGTGTGATAATAAAATTTGTGCAATGTAACGTCAGTGGAACTGCAACTGGAAGGTTGTCTTTCCAATAGAGTATAGATATTTTTATGTTCTAATAATGTTTTATATATTGTCACCAATATTTACAGAAGCTCTTTGAAGGTTTGAGTGCTGTGATCGAGTGGTTTTCACACGCTGCTCAGATGGTCCTTCCTCTTCTAAGAGGGAACTTGTTTTTCAGAGATTTTATGATGTGGAACACATTATTAATGAAGTGGCTTGAAAATTTGTCACATTAAAAATTCACAAAAAACTGTGGGTAACAATAAAGAGGTACATTTTATAAATTTTCACACATCATTATTAAAACATGAGATTGAAATGACAGTATTGAGATTATTTCAGGTCACTTCAGATTTTTTTTTTTTTTAAAGATTTTCCACAGCAACTTGAGCTTTCAGTGATTGAAGCATATACTAACCTCTATGGTCATAATTTTTCAAATTATCTATCCATCACCTCTTACTTTCTTTTATTTGTTATTTCCATGTACTTTGTCTGTTTGCACTGTCATCACTTTTCTTTATATTTTTGTCATTTGCTGTGTGTAATATCCATGTACGTGTAATCCAGTTTCATTTTTGTCCTCCTTTTTACACTCGATAAAAGGAATTTTTCTTGCTGTTTTGATTTCTTCTATTATTTGTGGAATGAAGCTTACCCCTTTAAATATCTGTTTATGCCTTATGTGCAGTCATATTTTAATATGCTTCCTTCATGTGGAAGCTAATTTCTCAGCCAAAAATCATCTTAGAATCTTTAAATACCCACCGCATCATTTGTTCAGAATTTAACATCAGCTCCAATATTTGAGGCTCATGTTTCTTACGTCTTCCCATATTCTACTGCCAAGTTTAGTCAGTTCCATATCAAGAATGGACTGCCTTTCCTTTAAAAAATTATTTGTAACATCTTTGTTAGAAAGACCTCATGACTAAAACAGGAATTTCAGTTCCATGTTTTCACGGTAATGAAGCAGAATGAGGAGCGTAGATGGTTCCAGTGCTTAATAGGTGGTCTGCTTATTGGCAAACAAGCAAGTAAAAGCCGACTATCTATTATTCGTGGAACATGTTTTTTTATCTTAATGCCACTAACATATGTCCTTGATATCACAGGACTTGTGCATTCAGATTTTTTTTTTTAAGTAAGAATAGATCAGGAAAACTGCTCTACTATTCAAATAATATGTCAGTTTGTTCTGAGGTTTTAGTCTGAGACATTTGGTGAACCCATTCAACACCAATTACATTATTTCTCTGAATGCCTAATATCATGATTAAAAGTTTTCTTGAATACAATACAGTATTAGCTCTTGTTGCATAATTGTTCAAAATTGGAAATTTACACATACATACCCTGTACCAAAAGGGCAGATACTCTTCACCTTAATGTATGTGCTTATACAAGTTGTTTAGCTTCTTGTAAAAGTGTTTTCCTTTGGCTCGTTACTGCCTTTTGTCAGATAATCTTGATAATGCTGTATAATAAATATTTTCTATTTATTAAATGTGTGTATTCCTTCTCTATGCTTTGTCAGAGTTACAATAAGAGAAATAGACTGGTACAAAAAACAGTTACAGTGGTTTGATTTTGCTCACAACATGTCTTCTAGATCAAAGTTGGAGAACATCACACAAAATCTATAGGCCAGGTAGGTAACAAAGTAGAGTACATTTTGATTATGAGAAAGGTGGTACCTGAAACACGAAATTTAAAATTAAATCCAGAATTTCAATAGTCAATGCTATGGCAGACATTGTCTTTCATCTTTTTGATAGAATGTGTGAGGCTTGACAAACTCCTGGATCTCCAGCAGAGCCCTGGAGATGGAGGCATCTGAAGGCTGCCATCTTTGTTTTATTTGTGCCCCATAAGACTCACACCCTAGAGGAACCTGGTTTCTCACTTTGTTGACATCCTCCTTCTATTCCCTTACATTTCAATGGAGACTTCACTGGTCTTCAAAACAAAGAAGCCCATTATCCATCTTTTGCCGTAAGATACCTACAGAGTAAAGCATCTACCCAGTGTCATTCAAGGGGAGAACAATGGGCATACAAGGACCACGTCCACGAGATTGTGATGTATTTAGATGATAGGAGCAAACTGTATCCAGGAAGGCTGATGTTGAAGAAATTTCCAGAATCAGGGGCTGAGACACCAGGGGGTTTCTTCATTGTGTCTGGAAAATAGAATGAGAAATCATGAAATGGGAGCTTGATGTCTGAGAGAGAAAAGTCATAGGAGAGAAAATGAGAAACAAAAGAAGAAGAAGAAGAAAAATGGAAATGTTTCAGATTTGTAGTCCAAAAATACCCTCAGATTGCCCAGTAGGTCATAAGGACCTCCACTTGGAGAGTCCAGAAGCTTCCCCATAGGAAGACATTTGAAGCGGCTGGGTATGGGATCCAGATACCACAAATGATGTGTGAGTAACTGCCCCAATAATTTCTACAGAGACTTTCCTGAAAGGGAATCAAAGAGAAGGGGAGCAACATGTTCATCAGCTTACTCTGCGCCAGACATCTTGCTAGGTTCTTTACATTCATTCTCATTTAATCTTTCAGGTACTACTGCTCCATGGATATTTTGGAGTACTGAAATAACTTACCCAGAGTCTCTCAGCTAACAAGTGGCCCATAAGGGATTTGAGTTCCATCCTAAGCTGGCCCAGAGCCTGCGAATTCGTGTTCCTCTGCAGAGCTCAGGAGAGTATCCCCTTTTTGTATCCCCATAGCATTTTATTCACATCCTAACTACATTATAGTTTGCCTGTCTCTTTCCCTTAATAGATTCTAAGTTCCTTTTTGTTTGTGATCCATTTTTTTTTCTAATTTGTGAGACTTCAGGGCAAAGCAGATAATCAGTAAATGTCGAAAAAAGGAAATAAGTGTTGTAACACCATGTAGTTTTCCCAGCTTAATTCTTTGAAGATTTATTCCAAGAGCCTTATGGGGTCCAGAGCTCTATATTTCCACCTACTGATCCTAACTCTGCCAACTAGAACAACACATGTTTTCATCATGAAAAACAAGCTCTCCTTTTGGCATCAGAAAGAGCTGTCCCACTGAGCAGCAGGTCTGCCTTTCTTGCAGAAGAGCATGGCAAAACTCAGTGTCCGCTGAGCCCGGCCAGAGGTCTGGCAAAGCAATAATAGGTGTGGGAAACAGTGTCCTCTTCAGGAGAACTGCCAGTAACACATAGACTACTAAAGTGGGACCCCCATTAAAGTGAGGGCAAATAACTCATCCATAGGGAAAGCATGGGCTGGAGGTTCCTTCCTTACAGAAGTACACATCCTTAGACAAGGTAAAAGGCAAAACTAGTCACCAAGACTTGTTGGGGACACGGAAGAAAGGGAGAGCCTAGTTTAAGGATTTGAAGTAATGACCCCATTAAACCAGAAACTGCCTTGATTTTCTCATGGTACCTTGAGAAGCAAGGCTTATAAATTAATAAGAGAAAAAGAAGAAGAAGAAGAAGGAGGGGAGGAAGAAGAGGGGGAAGAGGAAAAGGAACTTAAGAATGAGGATAACAAAAACTGAAAAGGAAAATAATGATAGAATTATGGAGTTGGAAGTAAATTTAGAAGTCATTTAAAATAAGCTATCACCTGGGGCGCCTGGGTGGCTCAGTTGGCTAAGTGTCTGACTCTTGGTTTCGGCTCAGGTCATGATCTCAGGGTCCTGGGACGGAGCCCTGAGTTGGCCCCATGCTCAGCGCGGAGTCTGCTGGAGCTTCTCTCCTTCCTCCTCTGCCCCTCCCCCCACTCACATGCTCACTCTTGCAAATAAAATACAAAATAAAATAAAATAAAATAAGCTATCACCCCATTCAGGACTCTATTTCTTTGTGTCCTTTTCCCCTTCCTGTGTTAGAAAGGGGTAGGTGAGGAATCACTTCTGACTGGGGTGGGGACGGGTGGAGGGGCTGGGGTATGAGCCCTATTACCTGCAGCTGTACCAAAAGGGGGCAGATAGCTC